GTGTGTGTGCGTGTGTGCTGTGTGTGTGTGTGTGTGTGTGGTGTGTGTGTGTGTGTTGTGTGTGTGTGTGTGTGGTGTGGGTGTGTGCTGCAGATATATATATATATATATATATTTATATAGATATATAGACATATATACATTTTTTTTTTTTTTAATATATGGAATATATATGCTATATATATATTCCTAAATACTTGCGTAATAACTGTAAAGATGACTTGGGTTAGCCCTGAATATATTTCATATCTGTAACTAAAAAGCAATAGCGAAACATAATATGTAATATGCGCCAATTCCTTCTTACGTATTTATAAATGATCACAAACTAGAATGATATGCCCCGATGTAAACGTGCGATAATACAGATCAAAAATGCGAACTCACGTCTATCAAACCCGCGTAAACACACACACACCACACAAATCATGCTCATGGCGCTCATGGACCTATTAAATAAATGAACACAATCGCCATGTTATAGTATTCAAATTACCTATTAGGTTCTAATTACTCATAAACAACAATAATGTGGCATTGGGGAATTTTTCTCTAAATTTGCCCCGATAATGGGAAAGCCTGCAGCTTAGCGCTACCCCTTCTGACGGCCATTTTCGCTAAATGTTAATCGCGCCTAATTGTGGCTGCCCGTCCCGTGATATAGCTATCGGCAATGCTCGCGGAAAACAATTGCAAAGAACTTTAAAAGGTTGCAATTAAGCCTGGGAATTTACTCGGCGCAGGCGGAATTTTATTAATTGTTCGTGCAGCCCGCGTCTCTGAGTCGCACACAAATTGCTACTTTTAGGGTATGGATTTAAAATGGTTGTACCTCGCGTCTGGAGTAAAAAATTGCTAGTTTTATGCGTTGGATTCAAAATGGTTGTATCGGAGTTGAGTCAAAATGGCACATTTGCTTTGGTATTCGCGGCAACAAAAATAATCGTTATCCGAGCTGGCACAGTTAAAATGGCCGATTCCGTGCCTTTCTGGAACGCCAAAAGAAGATCATGCGCGCACTCGGCTTTCGCGCATCAACGTTCCAACTGTTCGTCGACGTTCCAAAACATTGTCGTTCCTTTCATCATCGCGCTGGTTCTCCGAACGATGGGAGGTACGCTTTCGACTCGATCACCGGAAACAGAATACGCGGCGCTGTGCGAAGAACAAAGTCATCGGGAACGAATCAAAGCACAGACCACGTGCGGGCCATCAATGTAACTAACGAGCGCGTGCGCGAGATGTTTATTGCGATGACGGTATATATTAGCTCAGGATTACGCTCAAGCAAAGCCGCCCGCACGCACGCACGACACGCATGGAAACAAACGCCACACACACACGCCCGCCACGCACGCCACCTTGTTGCTGCATTTCGCGCTGCCTGCCGGTTGTCTTCGCTCTCTCGCTGCGCGGCAGGCTGCGAATGTGACGTCGCGGTATCGTGCGCGCCTTCCTTCATTCTCTGTGTCATAATTCTGCCGAAACACGCGGTGCACACACACGCGCACGCACGCCCGCCCGCACGCACGCACGCATAGACACACACGGCGCAAACGCACGCAGAACAATGCCGCGCACACCGCACGGCACACACACACAAACACACCACACACTACCGCGCGCGCCAGCGCCGGCCACGCCGCGCGCGCCACACACACCAGGTTAATGCTAACTGTCTAGCCAGACAAAACGGCACACCGCTCATATGGCACGCGCTCCTTGCTTTTTTATAGAACTCATATGAACTACGGAAAGCATAATTATAAAATCATTCTGTTACATGCTGGGGTTTCGGCAGTGTATACAGTTAGTGCGCGACCATTGATGAAGGGATCAAGTTTTCACTTCTACAGCTTATAGGGAAACTAGGATGGTTTTTGACTCGTTGACTCAAATGCTGTTTTTGCTGTTGATTAAGAACGCAATTGTCAGTTGTAAGGAAAATTGTAATGGTAAATTTCCTCGGTCTCACGGTTGTTGATTACCTACGTGTGACGGTGAGTGACAATTAGTGAGGGAATCATTAGGGTTCGCGTAAAGGTATCTATTTTACTATCCCTTACTTGGCTGCCGTCGGGGAAATGGCTTTCCGTATGTGGTCGTCTCTTAATTCTAATAGAGCGTAATTGAAGGCCAAAGCTTATACACCGTACTATCCGGCACTCACTCACTCACTCACTCACTCACTCACTCACTTACAATCACTCACTCGATCGCTCGCTCGCTCACATACTTACAATCACTCATTCAATCACTCACTCACTCACTCACTCACTCACTCACTCACTCACTCACTCATTCACTTACTCATTCACTTACTCACTCACTCACTCATTCACTTACTCACTCACTCACTCGCTCGCTCGCTCGCTCGCTCGATCGCTCGCTCGCTCACTCACTTACAATCACTCACTCGATCGCTCGCTCGCTCACATACTTACAATCACTCATTCACTCACTCAATCACTCACTCACTCACTCACTCACTCACTCAATCACTCACTCACTCACTCACTCACTCACTCACTCACTCACTCACTCACTCACTCACTCACACTCACTCTGTTGTTTCCTCAGCTCACGCGAAGCTGATGTTTCGGAGAAGCGTTGAGGTCCTGGATGCAGTGGTTGCTGTCTGCTTGATTGAATCGTCCATGCAGGTCAAAACATCGCAATCAAGTTCACAAATAGTTCTCTTTCTCTCTCTCTCTTTCTCTCTGCTTGAAGCAAGGCAGTCCTCAGTTATTGTGGTGGTAAACGTAGTCCAATCACAACCGGGCTGCTTCTCACTAACCGCTGTGAGAGTTAGGCACACTACTTCTCTGCCTTACAACGAATACAGTTTAAAGGTAAACAGATTCAATTGTGTTATTACGGTGCTTATATTATTCATTGCATCAGGTTTATGTTTTATGTCAAATAATTTACTTACTGTAGGGCTCAGCTCTTCTAGGTGGGATCAATACTCTTCATACGTCTTTCCCCGAGAACCCAGAAAAAGAATACAGAAACCAGGTACCCTATTTCTACTGCATATGACAATCAATCAGTAACTTATTTCCCTAAAATACAACACTACAAACGTCTAAGATCAATGAATTATTAGTCTTGAGTTAAGTAATAGCACGAGATTTATTATAGCTCATTATGTGTAATTCGGTGTTTGGGGGATGTGATTTCTCAGACGTTAATAAATAGCTATAATTACTCTTAATGACTCGGTTTCATTACAGCAATTATAAATCAATAACGTAACAGCTATTATATCTTAATGAGTTATGGATGAAATGGTTTTTACACTAAGTTTGTGATAATGTAGCGCCATGTCATAATTTTAAATGTCACTGTCTATTGCTTCAGGTTGAACTGATTTTGACGAAATTGGCATTACCCGACATTCTACAAGTGGAATTACTGCAGCTACAGACGGCTGACTCATTACTAGCGCCACCTACAGGCGATAACGCACAACCTACACGTGGGGTTAGTTTGAAGTACTCGGGATGCGATATGATGCGCTATGACATGCTCGTGTGAATGAATCACAGTATGTTGAATTTCGTATAACGCAATCACGTTTGTTTATTAAAAATTCAGCGTGACAATTAAGTTTAGCAAAAAAATATTTGCATAATTCACTATTTTGCATTTATTAAAGGCGTGTGTTCTAAATTGACTAATTGATTTGGCTGCTGCCACTTTGGCTAATGGCTTGGCTTTGACTTAGATGTCCCAGGAATAACTTTATTTTAACGTCTTGATTAAGTTTCCGATGGGGCTTCTAACTATTCTAGGAAGCACCGTTATTACATCAGTTGCATCCCAATCATGAGAGCACCCACGTCCCACACCATGAGGAGGAGCACTCCGGGTTACCTCAATCATCACCAAGCCAAACATCTCGCAGTGAAATTACATCAAGCAGCGAAGAACACACACAGCAGCTAAACGTCAGCGCGTTCGATCTATTCAGTGATCATTTCACTTCTCCAACACTCGCTCGTAAGTTGGTTAGCGAGATTCCATTGGCCTTCAAATCCACCGAGCGGCACTTTACAGAATCAAACGTTTTACTCGGGTCTTTTACTTTCATGCATTCACGGATTTGTTTGCCATGTCTTCAAGTCAACACGTGTGCACACCGAAATCGAATTAGTTTGAGACAAGGTAACTTCGTCTCGTTGGTGTGAACAATCCGAAGATCTGGCATGCCGATACTGAAACGTTATTGATTTTGAAATTACAAACAAATTTACGTACGTTGACGTGAACTCTATAAAGACATATTCATGCTAGTATTCATTTCACTAACTAGACTTCTCTTTGTCCAGAGCCCAAGGCAATCGTGAATGTCATGGACAAGACCTGTCCTGCTGGTGACCTACATAAGCGTCCCACTCTGTCTGAGGAATCTTCTTCGCCGGAGGTGAAAATCACAACGAAAACTTGCGCACAGTCAAGTGCATCACAATCCACATGCAGTCCGGGAGTGCGTGACCAAACGACTGCCGATGTAACAACTCTAAACGCGTCCACGAAGCAGAAACCACATGCCGGTTTCCGCAAACTGAGAACGTCTATGCGTGGCCTCGCATCTGTGCATGAGTTATCGACGACTGTGCCAGGCAGTCTTGCTGACCCATGTAGCATAAATTCTGGTCTGCTGCAGACAGCTAGACTGGATAGCCCTGCACAGGAGACCTCACGTGAAATAACACCCAGAAGCCAAACTGCGAACACAGAAGTGACTGCGAGCATGGACAATGGGAAGGCAGAGGTGATGCGCGAGTGTCCGGAGACAGGCAGCGTTGCTTCCAGCATTAGTTGCACGAACCTCATCGAGAAACTGAAGTCGTTCGTCTACACGAAGTCGGCTACCCGGACATCCGCCGAAACGTTGCAGAACGATGGAAAAGACGTCCAGAACACTACGTTCGAGAAGGCAACATTGAGTGACTCGTCATCACCCAAGTTAAAGCGTAAAAAGACTTCCTAAACTCGCCCAGTATGTCAAATTACTTCTGTTGTGTGGCCTGGGTACATATTATATGGTTGGATGTTCAAGGAAGGGACAGGTAACGACCTGCCAAAAGCGGAATTTTCGTAGAACAGCTTTTGATTGTATGCAGACGATGTTAAGAAAGAATAGAGAGCAAAGCAGTAAATGAAAGGTTGATAAAACAATACAGAGAAGTGATGCAGGGAGAGAAAATTGGGAGGTATGGAATGAAGTGTAGGCCACCATGCAATGACCTCAAATTGATTAAACATTTAGATATATATAAATGTTGTTAATTAGTTCTATAGAAAGCTGCAGCGGGAGTATTCCTACTATAACGACTATATATAATAATACGAATATGTCCCTGTACCATTTTAAGATACTGCTTGGATCAAACGAAACATGTTCTCTAACATATTGCAATTATGAGTTTCGTAATATTCATAGCATTTGCTGTTTGTCATAGTTTAATCACTGATCGCTGATCGTGTTCAGTGCAAGCAGCCACTACATGTACCTACACATACATTCACCATCCCCCTACCTATCCAAATATTGTGACCAGGCATTCATAGATAGGCCACCGATTTCATACTGATACTGGCGTAGCAGGTTGATTGTACCCGGGGGTATGTTCGAACGTGTGTCCTTTAGTATCCCTCCCCTGACTCCGCATGTATTTATAGATTCCGCTCTGTTGGTGGCATACTTGTAGGAGTGTATTAATAGATGAGATTCGCTGTTCATATATGCTATGATATATATAATATATATATATATGATATATATATCATATACGTACGTCTATGCTAACCCATGCTCGCGGCTACATTGTGCTGCCATCTAGCGAATCATGTAAAAGACGTGCTGCGATTATTTAATGTAAATTGCGCATTTTTGGTTCTAGACATTGTAATTATCTGTGACGCAATTAAACAATTGATGTTATTTTATATACATGGTGTTACGTGCAGTTGTACTAATGCGTTTCATATGGCCGGTACATGTGTTAGGTTATGGGTGTGATATGTTTCTAATTTTTCTATGTACATTTAGATATAACTTGTAGAATAATAGTTTTGCGAAAACAGCTAACTGCAAAAAACTAACGTCAATGTGCATTACAACATTGATTTAAATGGGAAAAACTTTCAGTTCTTTTCGCAAACGAAAAACTCATGTTAAAATATTTAAAAACAGTTCGCTGTTTTATTGCTGATATATCACGTCGGTATAGAATACGGTACGATACTAGAAAACGATAATTTCCACTAAAAGTGATATAATAGACGTGCGAAGCACATGAATAAAAACGCAATGTTTTCGAAGCATTATTCTCTTAATTGCGCTTATTGCGTGCGCGAAAGGCAGAGGCGTCACGGACTCTTAATGCTTCGACACGACTACTGTGACATGATGCTCCGACGATTTTCGGAATGTGCCACTGGTTGTCATTGTGTGTATTTGTGTGTGTGTGTGTGTGTGTGTGTGTGTGCGTGCGTGCGTGCGTGCGTGCGTGCGTGCTTGTGCGTGCGTGTGTGTATGCGTGTGTGCGCGTATGTGTGAAGCTATCATTACGTCTTACCAGATTTTCTCGTTTATTTGTTTACACATTCTAGCGGCTATTTTATTTCAATGGGGACGTTCCCATGTGAATGTTCCCACTGGTAATATTGGATTTTGATTCGTGGCATAAGTATGCAGTATTTTTCGCAGCCACGCGCACGCACGCACGCACGCACGCACGCACACACACACACACTATATATACATATTCATATAGTACGTATAGAATACTAACAGCTGCGCCACCTGTCGCGATGTATTTGGATTATTTTCCGCTTCGCTGCACTCCCGTTCTTCTAATGCGTCGTTGGCACGTCGCGAGATCACAACCGTTCCTCGAACCGTTCCACAACACAATTAGGTAACTGGTCCGTAGCTGCTCTGCCATGCTTAGCTGTGCCGAGACTAGGGAGACTTTACCCCCATCCAGTTCTGCAGCTCCATCATAGAAACTCGTTCGTGTGCGCTGGTAGACAATGTAAGCAGAAAACCTCCGCGAAAAATTGCTGCGATCTTGCAGGGGTATGGTAATCACCGAACAACGATGGTGTTTGTTTGGACAGCTTTGCTAGTTCCTGTTTGGACAAAGCGCCTGCCTTCCGTCGCAGAATGGGGCAGCGGAATAACACACTTGTCCACGTGAGCGAGGTGTCCGGTCCACTTCTGTTCGTGCGTCTCCACTGACATATAACATTAACGAGTATAGAGTTCAAACCAACCCAATGCGTGTTAACGCTAGCAGCAGCATAGGATACCCGTAATATACAATATACTATTTGTGCCTTTGAAAACATCCGCGGTTGCTGCAAATATCGGTAAGTGCGCAAATACCTATATAACAATAAATTAACTCATAATATACGTACGTGAATACGTGCGTTAATTGCATATCTATACGTACGTGAGTATATAAAGTATACGTATTATTGGCATAAATAAAGGTCGTTAATTTACTGACTGCGTGAATAATCTCTCTGTGGGAATAACCGAATAATATGCGTATGCAAATATAGGCCTACTAGTGGATAACTGAAAATTTGAATATCTATATATATAGTTATTTCGTTTACGGCGCAAGGCATGACATATTTGCGCTATACACGTATATATATATATATATGCTATGCCTTGCGCCGTCAGTTAATTATCTAGTATCACAAATGTTCTGCACTATGGCACTCGGCACCAACTGTAAAGTGCACAATGCTCACTCATAAGGAACGTACGCAATAAAGGAGGTGTTGCACTATTTCGTCTCTAGAAAATGCCTTTTTTGGCGTTTTTTTCCGCTGAAATTCGGCACTAGATTGCAATAATTTGCATCATGCACGCAAGTTAGATGCCTCGTGGACGTCTAGAAAGCATTAGAAGTAAAAATTGGTCTTGTTGTGTACTCGTGACATTCCGTCAGGTGGCGTAGCCGCAGCGACCGGCTGGTGATTTTTGTGTATGAAATGTGTTCAGACAACTTTGCAGAAATTCGCGTTATAGAACTGGCAAAAGTTTCGAGCGGAGCATAGAGCATGAATCTGTAGTTATTTAACATGAATAAAGTGTATGTTTTGTAAGTGCAGTAACAGTGTGAGTATTTGTAATTAATTTCTATTCGATGCTTATTCAGGCCTGCCGCCTATGGACGCCCTCTACTGTTGTTCAACACCTACAGTATGTTATGCTGTCATCGCTGCATAAATCTATTACTGATTAACAAAGGTGGACGCTGCGAACTCGAATATGATTTGTTACACTAGAGTATATATATATATAATTGTTGAGGCTCTTCGTTCAATGGCAATATGAGGGCACTCGTGCCCTGATGTTAGAGATATATAGATATATACGCGGGTAAATAATAGCCTAAATGTCATTGATATGGCCTACTATTTACTTGTGATGAATGTACCCTGCCAAGCGCATATATCTATGCTGCCCTCATTATCAGCTTGCTTCGCTTTACAAACCCGCCCACCACTGTCAAGACTGCGTTTCGTTTGTCTCGCAGAGGAAACGCCTGCGTCGTAATGCGCCCCCTATCGGTCACGATCCGCTGCTATAACACCATCAGTGCGCGTGCAGCACTGAAATCTCAGCCTCTCAAACTCATAGTGTAACTGTGTAAACGCGCATAGATGCACTGATACACTCACACAGTATGTGTGTGTGTGGTACGCGCGCGCGTTGCGGCACACACTTTCACGTGTGCATAAACGCCCGCTTGAATGTGCATAAACACACGTAGCATACGCACACGTACGCTCGCGCATGCACGCACACATGCACGCACGCTGTTGAAAGCTCACCCGCGATCGCCGTGTTTCCGGGCCGTTGTTGTGGGGGGCCATGTCAGCGTAGTCAGTCTAACACTCATTGTTGTTCCTACAAGCGTCTGACTGCCCAATACACGAGCCAGAGGATGCTAAGTGACTTTCCCCATAAAGACAGCGTTCCACTTCTTTTCCGGCGTTATTCTATTTCCTTGATCGTGTTCTGAATGTGGATCATGTGCGCGTATCAATCACGTGTCTGAAATCCAAGATTGAATCTGCAGCAAGTTTTTTATGACAATACGTAGTGTCATGCATCTTTAGCAGATAAGATCACAGATCCTGACTACTAGTTACACGTTGCTTTACGTGAGGTGGACTTTTTCATGACCATAACTGCTCGCATTTGCAAGCGTTCCCTTAGTAAGCCTCATGAAAACCTGTATTCAGTACACCTACGATGTCTAACTATACCAAGTATACAGTATGTACGCCTCGGTGGTTTGCGCATGATATATGTTACTAGCATATAAATTTATTGGTGACGTAGCTGATTTTTTCCCTTTTGCATTATAGGTTATATCATCTAGAATTCAAGGGCGATGATGGTGTGGGTAAACCGAACCTTTGCCCTTGATGTCTAATAAAACTCTGTGAGACGAAAATATAATAAGGTCTATCTCAGCAGCTAACCATCGCTCGGCTAGACCCGGGTCTATCGAAATGCACGTGTTAGTCGATCAAACGGCTAAGCGTATGCAGGTACTGCAGACTGCGCTCCTTTAGGCCATTCTAGAAGAGCCAGATCCGTGCTTGCCGCTGTATGATAAAAGCGAGTGAGCGAAAAAAAAAGTCACGCTAGGTGAACACGGTGAAACAGTTGACTTACCAAAGGAGGTCAGGGGGCAGAGCAAGCGCGCCGAGAGTCTGCGCCGATACCGGAGCTGCGCGCGTGAGATGACGACTGGTGGCAGAAGGGGCGCAGGTGTGCTGGGGTGAGGACGCGTAGATCAACAGCGTCTTAGGTCGTTACACCTGCACGTGAAAGCGAGCGCCATCATGCAGCAGCTATGAGCCAGTGCTTACCGACCACGCTGCCCTCATTAAACACGACGTCGGCGGGCCCGCAGGCAGCGAAGTCTTCGCGAGGCGATCGTAAACCCATCGTGTTGCCAAAACCCAGACATTTATTAGGTGGCGCACAAAGGCTGTCGACGGGCGTAACTAGAACGAAGGCACCGGCCGTTCTGCCGAAACCGAAGCATCTCGCGTCCAGACTTAGTTTCAGAGCTCGCAACGGCTTCGCACGAAGGAGCACAGCACGGCGGCAGAGCGGCAGGAAGAGGAAGCCCGAGGTCGGCGGCAAGAGAGAGACCTGCGGCGAGAGAGAGCCGTCGGTGGGGTCGGCGGCCAGCGCCGAGCGTCGCAGCGAGATCGCGAGCATCCCGCGTGGCAACGTCGCCTCGTGCATTCACTCGCTACTCAGCATCACCGACCGACGAGATCCGCAGCATCCCGTCCGCATCCAGAAGGAGCAAGCCATGCTCTGCTGCTACCAGAAATGCGAGGTCTCGCCGACAGGCTACGGCCACGGCCCGCCGGCAGCGGAACCGGCAGCCGACGCTTCCGTCGAGGCGTCGCGCGGCGACGACGTGCTTCTGCCTGTCGACGCCGAGGAGCTGTCCGTCGGCGAGACGAATTCCGCCGACGTAACTCCAGTACCTAAACCCAGGAGGAAGCTGTGCGCTCCGGCTCAGAAGGGGACGGCAGATGACGCCAAGTCGTGGGACTTGTACGGAGAGATACTGGCGGAAATGACGTGTGACGGGAAAGTAGACGACGGTAAACGCGACGGTATGTCGCTCGCCGTCGGCAAATCAGAAGAATTTCGTGAAGTCGTTTCTGGCGATGTGAAGATCGCGTGTCTCCCTTCCCGTGAATCCGAGAGAGTTGACCTCTTCCACGATGATCATATTACAGAAGCGCCTATCCCGGATGAACCCCCGGATGATTCCCCGGCCCTTCCCCCCGCGTGTGAGGACGGTAGCAGTGTCGACAGCACCTACCACAGTGTGACCGTTGTCAACGTCGATTACGATGACGTCACCTCATTCTCGAGCGCACTCGGCCTCACAGCCGACGACGACAACGACGACGGAAGCGCGCTGTCTGCGATACCGCCGACGGACGACAGCGTCGTTTCGCCGCCGACGCACACGAATGTCGCCGCCGTCGGCTACTACCCGGGATACGTCGACGACCACTATGAGACGGTCGGCACGCACGACGGCCTCCAGCCGACGTCCGAGTCGGACTCGGACAACGTCGACTACTGCGATATCGACGAGGGATTCGATACGACAGCGTCGCAGCACATGACGCGCAATCCGGACAGCGACGACGACGACATCTACATCGACATCGAGGATACTAGCGACAGGAAGGCGTCGTCAAGGCCGGGTGACGACGCGTACAGGCCGTGGGCAAGTCTCTACACGACCTCGACGACGAATACGGATCCGATCGAAACCGATCCAGTGTACTCGGATATTGCCGACGCGACGCCGCTGTCCATGGCCTTTAGCCTTGACCACCTCGCCGACTACGGCATGGACTGTGGCGAGAGGACGACGAGGCGGGGCGGTGCGAAGCGCAAGAACTTCTCCGATCCGGGTTTCAGAGATCTGAACATGGTGATCCGAGGCACGCTGGTTGAAATACGAGAGGAGAGACGCGAGGACGAGTGCGACATAGGTGAGAACTTGCTCCTTATATAGCCGCTATCGAGTCTTTTTTGTTATTTTCTATAGAGACTCTCTTTCATCCCTACAACTCATCTCTCTCACACACTCTCTCTCTCTCTCTCTCTCTCTCTCTCTCTCTCTCTCTCTCTCGTTCTCTCTCTCTATATATGATTGTATATTATATCGCCTTCTGTACGCACACACGTTACTAAAAGTGTCCAATTTTCTCTTCCATTTGCAAGTTAAATTTGCTCATGTGGAAATATAAAACGTAAAAAGGTACGTCAATTATTGTAATTTAAAATTGTGGATGCATTGAATCAAACTATGTCGACACAATTTCCCCTTGCCGTGAATAATGTCAGCTCACATTATATAGCTGTAGACTGGTGTTTTCGTTAACACCCGTGATTACAGTCACGTTTTCGCGTTCGCCCTGTGGCAGTGGATCGTTTGCTGTCCGTAAAAACATGCTGAACGCGAACGCGTAAACGGTAGCGCCCACATGTGTAATGTAGCAATATTTGTTTTAGAATATGGTATCATTTTGAATATTTATTAATTTTTTTACTATTGACAAGCGTTTAAGTATTGTTCCACGCCGTCCATATTAACACATGTACGCGTGCACACACGTATACGCGCACGCGCGAGCACGCACACGCGGACAGTCGCATCCGGGCCTACGATTGACACTAACTGTCAGACGGAGACAATATTTCTACCTATTTGCTCTCAGGCCATGTAACGGCAAAATCCGGCCGCCTACTTTTCGGCGATCAGATATCGATTTGTCGCTAGGCACGCCCTCGCGCGCTGTCCTCGCTCTCTCTCTACACTTCTCCGTGACATCTGTTTCAATCTCGGCGCAGCCTTAATTGCGCGGGTGTATGCTGGTATAGTTTCGTCGGTGCGCGGCGCAGAGGTTTGACGGAGAACGCCCCGCTTGTAGTGAATAACCGCGGCAGGATGGCGTGAAGGCGCGCCATTGTCTAATACCGCTCGCTGTGGGCGGCCGCTCGATTTAGGTCTGTCGTCAGCGCTGACCTATATAAGTTTACTTTTCCGACGTCAGTGTACCGTCGTCACGTCATTGCTGACATCGTATATATATATATATATCTGTGTGTGTGTGTGTGTGTGTGTGTGTGTGTGTGTGTGTGTGTGTGTGTGTGTGTGCGCGCGCGCGCGCGCGCGTGTGTGTGTGGGTGGTACGCGCGCGCGTTGCGGCACACACTTTCACGTGTGCATAAACGCCCGCTTGAATGTGCATACAAACACACGTAGCATACGCACACGTACGCTCGCGCATGCACGCACACATGCACGCACGCTGTTGAAAGCTCACCCGCGATCGCCGTGTTTCCGGGCCGTTG